TGCTCCGCAACGGGAGAGGCCGCAGCGGTGAGAGGCCCGCGTACCGCCAAAAAAAAAAAAAATTAGGTATAACTTTAATACAGTGAAAGTCACCCTTTTATGGACATTTTTGCAAGTTTTGACAAACATATATAGTCAATTGTATAACTATCACCACAAACAAGATATAGAATGGTTCCATCATCCCCCCAAATTTCCCTGTGCTTCTTAGTAGTAAATCCTACACACACACACACACACACACACACACACACACACCAACCTCACTCCTAGCCCATGGCAACCACTGGTCTGTGTTTTGTTCCTATAGTTTTGCTTTTGTAAGAATGTCACATAAAGGAAGTCGTGCAGTCTGTAGTCTCTTGTGGTTGAGTGTATCAGTTGTTCATTCCTTTTGATTCCTGAGTAGTATTCCATTGTATGAATATTCCACAATTTTTTTATACAATCTACAGCTGAGGGACATTTGGGTTGTTTCCAGATTTCAGCTATTCCTGATGAAACTGCCATAAAAATTCCTGTACAGGGTTTTGTGTGAATGTAACTTCACGTTTCTCTAGCGTCAATACCTAGGAGAGGGGTTGCAAGGTCATATGGCAAATGTATAGTTACCGCCATAAGAAGCTGCTAGATTGTTTTCCTAAATGGCTGTACTATTTTGTATTTTCGTCAGCAATGTACAAGAGTTCTCGCTGTTCTAAATACTCATTAACACTCAAAACTGTCAAATTTTTATTCAATTTAATTAATTAATTAATTATTTTGGGCTGCGTTGAGTCTTTGTTGCTGCGCGAGGGCTTTTCTCTAGTTGCAGCGAGCGGGGGCTACTCTTCATTGTGGTGCACGGGCTTCTCATTGTGGTGGCTTCTCTTGTTGCAGAGCACAGGCTCTACGCGCGTGAGCTTCAGTAGTTGTGGCACGCGGGCTCAGTAGTTGTGGCTCACGGGCTTAGTTGCTCTGTGGCATGTGGGATCTTCCTGGACCAGGGCTTGAACCCGTGTCCCCTGCATTGGCAGGCGGATTCTTAACCACTGCGCCACCAGGGGAGCCCTAAATTGTCAAATTTTTAAAACATTAACCATTTTAATGGTGGAAGTATCTCATTGATTTTAATTTGCATTTTCCCTGATTACTAATGATGTTGAGCATCTTTTCATGTGCTTAGTTGCCATCTGTATATCTTCTCTGGAGAAGTGTGTCTGCTCCAATCTTTTGCCCATTTTTTTAAAAAATGGGTTGTTTATCTTATCATTGACTTTTTAGAGTCCTTTAGATATATTTGGGACGCAAATTCTTTGTCCGAAATGTGCTTCGCAAATATTTTCTCCCAGACTGTGGTTTGCCTTTTCAATCAGTCTTTTAACAAGGTCTTTGGATGAGTGTTTTTTAAAAAATATTTATTTATTTATTTGGCTGTGCCAGGTCTTAGCTGTGGCACGCGGAATGTTTGTTGCCATGTGCTGGATCTCTGTTGTGGCGTGTGGGATCTTTCAGTTGCAGCATGCGGGATCTTTTAGTTGCGGCATGTGGGATCTAGTTCCCTGACCAGGGATCGAACCCCAGCCCCCTGCATTGGGAGCGTGGAGCCTTAACCACTGGACCACCAGGGAAGTTCCCGGATGAGTGTTCCTAATTTTGACGAAGTCCAATTTATCGATTTTCTTTTATGGATCATGGTCTTGGTATCGTATCTAAGAACTCTTTGCCTAACCCAAAGTCACAAAAAATTTCTCTTTGCTTCTAGAAGTTTCATATAATCATAGAATATGATTGCTGTATTAAATGGGATAACGTATGTAAAGCCCTTAGCTCAGGGCCTGGTGCTGAGTTAACAGTCACTAAACAGAGCCTAAGATGGACATTTGTCTATGGAATGTTTATAAGGGGTGGCCTCACACCCACCACATTTCCTCTGCATGGATCTGGTGTCCTGTCATCACAGGATGTGGCATGTTCTGTCATCACCAGGACTGCAAAGGCCCCTGCAGATAGACATCCTTATCCAACAGCCTCCTGGAACCAGTGGAGACATGAGGCCCTGGGGACTACAGGTCATGCTAAGAGCCAGACCTGGAAGGCAGTCATTCTCACTGCAGCGAGCACTCCTCCATCCAGCCTCGGTTTCCATGAAAGCTGGAGCTCTAGGCCAAGCAGTGATGTTGGTGATGGGGATTAGGGTCTGTTTACTGAGCACCTACTGTGTGCCAGGCCCTTGGCTACAGCAGTGAACAAGTCAGACAAAATTCGCAGACTAGCAGAGGAGGACAATGAACAAATAACTACATAATTAATTAGTGGATTAAGGAAAAGGGTAGCGTGCTGGTGGGGTGGGGGGTGAGGGTGTCTCATAAAGAATTAATTGCCCTTCCTCGGTCTCTGCCTCTGAGCCAGGTACCTAGGATCCCTCCAGGCTGGGGGTGGGGGGTGCGCAGACTCGGGGACTCACGTGACGTCAGCGTAAAAACAGGGTGGAAAGGTCCTCCGGGGAGGTGGGGCTGTGCTTTAGAAGGCTCTGAGAGAAGGGTAATTCCTTCGTGAATCGAATTCATTTGTGGTTCATTCATTCGAGAAGTCCTGCGGCACCTACTGTGTCCCAAGCACCCCGTGAGGAGTACAAACGCGGCCCCTGTCCGCTCACTATATTGGGGGCAGACAGAGCGACAGGAAACCAGCAAAAAAGTCACGAAGGTGGTTTCATCCAGGGCCGTAGGCTCGGAGCGGGTAGGGCGGCCGGGCAGACCCGCCACCCGGGGGCGGGGACAAGTACTGCATTTACTGCACCCCCCACTCCTCGTCCCCCCTACTCAGCAAAGAGGTCACCAAGCCAGCGACGAGCTCGCCCTCGGCCGGCTCCGCAGCACCCGCGTACCCGCGATCGAGGGCGCGCGCGGCC